CCCAAAGGAGGTTGACGTCCTAGCCCTCTTACTTCGTCTAGGTCGTTCATTTATAGATTCTTGATCTAAAGTCTCTTCATTTTCACGAGATCTCTTTCGTGAATTTGATTCACCTTGCATATTATAAGGAAAAGTATTTTCGAAAAATGTAGCATCCCTTAATTCAATAATTGTATTAACATGCATATCAGGTATTTCAGAGTTATATACCATAAATCTGTACACATTACTATGGTAGGCATAACCATCCCTTAATTCAATAATTGTATTAACATGCATATCAGGTATTTCAGACTTATATACCATAAATCTGTACACATTACTATGGTAGGCATAACCAATGAATACACAATCAATGGTTTTAGGTCCTATCTTAATTCTTTTAGGTTTAGGAACTACTACCTTATCCAAACATCCCCATACCTTTAAGTATTTATAATTAGGTTTGTGACCTTTCCATACTTCATAAAGTATCTTTTGCGTTTTTTGATGTGGTAGTTTGTTAAGAATATAGTTGGCAGAAAGCAATGCTTCCCCCACAAGTTCTGCGGTAATCCAGAACTTATTAACATAGCATTCATCATCTCCTTTGATGTTTGATTCTTGCGTTCAGCTATACCATTAGATTGAGGAGAATAAAGCGCGATAGCTTGATGAATAAATTCGTGTTCTGAACACCTCTATCACTTCTTATGGCCTTAATCTTTTTGTTAAGTTGATTTTCAACTTCTAACTTGTAGTGTTTAAACACTTCAATTGCTTCGTCTTTGCTTTTGAGCAAATACACATAGGAATATCGAGTACAATCATCGATAAAAGTGATAAAGTACTTATTACCTCCCATAGTTTGAACAAATTTTAAATCACAAATATCGGTGTGAATTAAATCTAGGGGTTCGGTACTTCTTTCAACAAAACGAAAGGGTAGACGTAACATTTTGGCTTCTACACATATATCGCATTTGTGATTAGGATTTAAATCAACTTTGGTAATAAATCTAATTTGATTAGTCTACGCAAAGTGTTATAATTTGTATGTCCTAATCATTCATGCCAAATGTTAAATGACTCAAGCAAGTTAGAACAAGATGTATTCTTATTCATAATTGGAGGTACAACAATCATTACATTCAACTTAAAGAGCCCCTCGTTCAGGTACCCCTTCCCTACAAACATTTCATTCTTTAAGAGTACAAATTTGTCTGAGACAAATACTAGTTTAAACTCGTTCTTACTTAGTAGAGAACCAGATACCAAGTTTTTCCTAATATCGGTCATATGAAGAACATCATTCAAAGTGAGCTCTTTTCCACTAATCATTTTCAGCACTATCTTCCAATGTCCTTCTATCTTGGAAGATGATGAGTTTCCCATTTAGAGATGTTCATCATGATCCATTGCTTTGTAGGTAGAGAACATCCCGTGGTTTGAGCATATATGACGAGTAGCTCCAGTATCCACCCACCACTCCTTGGTGTTTCCAATTAAGTTGCATTCAGAGACGACCGCAGAAAAATTCATGTCTTGTACCTTATCAGTGAGGTTCTCATGTTCTGTTACATTGGCCTGGTGAGTTTTTCCCTTCACATTCTTTGGCTTTCGACAATCCTTGGATCGATGTCCTGCCTTGCCACAATTGTAATAGTTACCTTTAAACTTTTTAGCAGTTTTTGAAGAACCGATTTGTCCTTCCCTATTGTGCTTCCTCTTTTTGCTGGTCTTGAAGTCTCCTTCTACAATGTTGGCTTTTGATTCCATCGAATGAGATGCACCATTCCTTTTTTCAGTTTTGCGATTGTCTTCTTCTATTCTCAATCGGACAATGATATCTTCAAGTTTCATTTCCTTCCGCTTGTGCTTTAGGTAATTCTTGAAATCCTTCTATGAAGGTGGTAATTTCTCAATCAGTGCAGTGACTTGGAATGATTCACTTAGTTTCATTCCTTTCGCATGGATGTCGTTAAGTATGATTTGAAGTTCTTGAACTTGGGATATGACAGTCTTGTTGTCAACCATTTTATAGTCCAAAAAATGACCGACAATAAATTTCTTCATGCCGGCATCTTCGATTTTGTACTTTGTGTCCAAAGATTCCCACAGTTCTTTTGCGGACTTAGCATTGCAATACACATTATATAATGTGTTATCCAGTTCATTAAGTACATAATTTCTGCACAAGAAATCAGAATACTTTCGTGCATCAACCGCAGCCAATTTTTCAGCATCACTGTCTTGCTTGGTATATGAAGGCGCGTCTTCTTTAAAAAATTTAGCCAGATTTAACGTTGTCAGATAAAAAAGCATTTTTTGTTGCCAACGCTTGAAATCTGACCCATTAAATTTTTTTGATTTTTTGCCGGTCGTATTTAGGAGTGTGGTACCAAAAGTTGCCATTTCTGAAACACAATCAGAAGATCAACGGTAAGAAGGAATAGAAACAGAAACAAAATAATAATATCAAATTCGTTTTAAGATTTTTGTTCCTAGAGTTTGACGTTACTCCTTCGAAACCAATCCGACAGAATCACTTGAATGTAAAGAAATGATCAACATGATCCAAAAAGTAATTCGAGCTCACCGACTTTATGATGTTTCCTTAAAACGAATTTGCTGCCTTCAATGGTGCTAAAGACGTCCAACAATCGTTTTTCAGGATAGAACGAATTTTCGTCTCCTACGGAAGCAGCACTGCAATCTGCAGGAGTTCCAACGAACTCAACGAAGTGTGTTTTACTTCAAAACAATATCAGAACGAGAGAGAGTGGAATGAGATTCAAAGCACAGAAAGTTTGCAATGAAAATGATGTAAATTTTCTAGTAGAGAGGCAAGCTATTTATAGACTTGTTCGTGTCCATTCGAACAGTCATCACCTTTCAGACAAACTTCAAAAATCCGAATAGACATGTTGTTTTAAAAGTTGCGTCTGTTAAGTCGATTAACAGTCGGCTAATAGTCAACTCTTTGGTCGATAAACAGACGATTGGAAGAAAATAAAACACTCGGAATAAGCCAAAATTTAAATTTCATAATGTACCCAAGAATTTAATTATTGACAATTTGGCCCAAAATTTTAAATAAATTTTGTCCAAAAAGTTAATAGTCGAGCCGAGCCGGTCGGGCGGCGATAGCGGCGGCGCGCGCGTTTGGGTTTATGACCGAACTTAATAGGATATAGGTCTTCCTCCTTCCATAAACTATTGGTACCCTTTGGGGCCCAAACACAATTCCAAACTTCCATCTTATAAATCTCACCAAAGTTTCCTGACTTTCCTATGTGGGATAAGTGTTTGGAAAATCAAATTCTTCCATAATACTTAGTTTATGTGGGTTACTTTAACACTTAATATTTCATTCAATTTTAAATGGTTTTCGACAAATAAATATATCACGTTAATCATCTCGCGGAGTAGAATGCGAATATGATAGGTCCCGTATTAATTAAAAGGTGGGTCCTACTGAAATTTGGGCTCAAAATTGACCCATTTCAACCATTTTTCCAACAAATTAATCTCCACCGGTGCTTTTGAGTGGTCGTGTCAAAATTTTCGTTTTATAAGTAACCCTAGTATCCATCAGTAAGGGGCACAAGACAAAATTCGAAAATAGAGTGATGCTTATTCATCTTTAACAATAATAATTGGAAGAATCTATTAGATTACTCAACACATGCATTATTTGTTATCGGGCCTATACTTTTGTGGCGCCTTGGATCTATTGAAATGATCGGACTATTAAATTCTCGGAGATGAATGTCATTGAAAGAGATTATTGCCTGCATGAAGTCGAAATCTCTAGTAATCGCCGATCAGCCGAGAGCTTTGAGCATCGTATAAGAACGTGTTGTAGGACTATAGGAGTAACCCAATACCTTCTGGGTGAAATTGTCACAACATGGGACTAGTCACACCTTCCAGTACAGCCACCTTGTTACGACTTCACTCCCGTGATAAATGGATATCTGGGAGTTAGATTGATAGAATTATTACTTATTGTTCAAATGTTGGGAGGATAAATTTGATGTTGGAGAGCTATTGATGAAAAGAAGTGAAATGCTATAAAAAAGAAAAAATGGCTAAAGAAGAATAATTATAAAGCTGAGGTTAGTTGCAAATTTTCAAAACTTGATTATGACCAAGGGTAGATAATGAAGAGGAAACTGATCAAATTTTTATGCAATTAAAAGTTGAAGGACTCATGGAAAATAAAGAAGGGGACCTGAGCTGAAAAGAAGAAGAAATCAAGGATGAAAATGATGCAAATCAAAAGTCAACACCTTGAGATCTCAAGATTCATCTGTTGGTTTCCTGTAAGTAGTTTAGCAAAGCAATGCGACTGCATTATTCATTCCATAAAAAATATTCTATTTCCCCTTTCGACTCTTTTGAAATGCAATTCAAACTCATTTTTAACCTACTTTGGAGGCTAAATTTTGAGATATCAAGCTTCCTTGTTTGAGCCCAAATTTTGAGTTATAAAGGAGATAGAAAAATCCTAGTGCTCATTGTTAATCGAGTTTATAAAAATCTTTTACTTGTTCATTAACTTAGCATTTAGATAATTCGAGGTTAATTAGTCATAAAAACAAATCAACCATATTGTGTTATTCAATTAGAACTGATATTATTTAAAATTGAATTAAGTACTAGAACATCGTGAGAACAATAATTTACTCACATCTTTCACTTGGCTTTATTCACATCTGTTACTTGGCTATGATACCATATATTTTCAAGATTTTAGCGACTACTGTATTGCCAATTGAGAAAAGAATAATCACAAGAAAAGAAGCATTTGTTCTTATTAGCTTTCAAGTTCATGATGGAGTAAGTTTCCTGAAAATTTGTAAACTTTTTTTCTTTTTTTCTTCTTCTTTTTTTTTTTTTTAGGTGATGATGCAGAAATGTGCAACTATCATTGGAGGGGAATAATAATAATAATAATAACTACTTAAGTGGCATTATCCAAAACAAACCCCAGGATGACGAAGGGCAATATGGACATTTGCACCAACGACAAGAGCGACAGCAGCAGGAATCTTTAACTCCAAATACAAGAAGCAATGTAATATTATCGATTAAATTTTAATAATAAAACCGAAATTTAATTATAAAGCAAAAGTGATTTTTCTTCTATCTCTTGCAAAATTTATATAAACAATCACACAAAGGAGAGCGAAAATTGAATTTGCAGACAATGCAGGTAAATTTGTTAATACTTTTGATTTTTATCATTTTTTTATTTATGGAGGTGAATGATTATTGCTAAAATTGGTATGATTTGTTATCTAATTTTGGTAGACAAGAACCGTACAAGTACAGCGGGTATCGGATCTAGCAAGTGAGAGGGAAATTCACGAATTTTTCTCATTTTCTGGTGAAATTGAAAATATAGAGATCCGCAGGCACGCTGTTAATTTTCTTTCTCATTTAGTGTATTATAGTTTATTTAAATGTGTGAAAGATATTAATATATTGAGTTTTGGATATTTTGCAGAGAGCCAGGGCAGTCAAAGACTGCATTTGTGACTTTCAAAGATCCAAATGCCCTCGAAATTGCTCTGTTGTTGTCGGTGATTTCCTGGGCTTTTTATTTTGGTTTATTTTTAATAGTCCTTCATTTTTATAACAGTACAAATAAGTTTAGTACTATATGATTCTCTGAAAATCTAGTAATTTTTGTTTTTGTTAAAGCTGAATGCATAAATAAAAATAATATTTCCCCCACAAATAGCGCTACACACGCCATACTCACACATTGAATTAGGAGTAATATGGCAGATAATAATAAATTAAGTCGCAAGACATTATAATTGTTTGTAGAAGCTACGCAGAGTATACACAAGCTTTTCAGAACGATGTTTAAAATCCAGAATGGGTTATAAATTCCATATAGTAATGAATAACAATGGTGTAATTTCACTCTTAGATTAAAATAGCACATTGCCCTAGTGTATTCCTACTTAAAGATCACTCTTTATGGAAAGATGCCACCATTATGGCTCACTGTATCTAGGACTAGTCCCTCTAAAATGTTACTTTAAATGTTATAGACGATCAATTTAAATTGTTATGGCATTGTAAATTTGACGTCTAACAATTATCATATGAAATCTTAAATCTTCATTTTGTTGATTGAAATGGAATTGGTAATGTTAGCATCTTGTATGGGTTAACATGTGAGGAGAATTGATTCTAGAGATTGAAAACACTGGCATTTGTGTGAATTTGCAGGGAGCAACAATTGTCGACCAGATTGTTACTATAGTGTCAGCAGAAAACTACGTACCGCAATCTTTGGTTCAGGTAAACTACATACAACTTAGTAAGTTTTTTACACACTGTTAATTATATCTAACTTTGTGATGTTGTGTATTTAGGAAGTAAGGATTGTTGACAATGCCTTGAGCATGTCTCAGGAAAGTACTTCTCCAGTAGCTGAGGTAATCAAATATAGTGAATGGGCCTTATGTCTCAAATAAGCATCAGTATGGGATATCTTTTAAGTGAGAATTTCAACTAGTTCCAATTCCATTGGCTCCTGCTGATGGTAGAAATGATGGAAGTAGGAAGGAGCCAAAATATTCTTACATCCATACTTGTAATGATTGATGGTGAAAGATAATTAAGTTCATATGTCTGTTGCAGAGTATTGATATCTGATTGATGCAATTGTCTATATCTGATACCAGGGCAAAACGAGTCCAACTAATGGGAGCGTATATATTAGTAAAGCACAAGATGTTGTCTCTAGTATGATTGCAAAAAGTTCAACTATCAGACAAGATGCTGTGAATAAGGCCAAAGCATTCGATGAGAAGCATCAGCTGACAGCCAATGCATCTGCCCGAGTGAATTCCTTTGACCGCAAAGTTGGACTGAGAGAAAAACTCACTGTTGGAATTACAGTGGTAAATGAGAAAGTTAAATCTGTGGATCAAAGATTTCAAGTGTCTGATAAAACTGTGGCAGCTCTGATAGCAGCAGAGAGGAAACTAAATGACTCTGGATCAGCTGTCAAATCTAGCAGGTTTGGCAATTGGCGTTCTTCCTCATGTCTGTAATTTGTCTTTATGTTTGTCTCTGATTTTGACTAAGAAAGCAATTTTCTGTTCATTATATCTTTATTTTTCTATCAAGTATCAGCCATATATCTGGACGTGTGCATGATAATCTTTTACAAGACCAATTCAGATTGGCTTATCATGATGGCTTTTAATTTCAATTTTAAAAAGCATGTTTCAGACAAGAAATCTCTACATTTTTTATCTTCCCTTTTCAACATGAAGACAAATTGCTGTCTATTAGAATTTTAGCTACACTATAAAACTGTGAAGCAAGGATTTGTCAAACATTGCTCGTGACTTGGTGTATGTCCCCCTAAACTTGGCTGACAACTGGAATGCATCATTTGTGTTTTGTTCAGTTAAGATCTATGAAATTGACTATTTGGAATGATCAGGTATGTGACTTCTGGAGCAGCTTGGCTGAATGGTGCTTTCAATAAAGTAGCAAAGGCTGGACAGGCGGCTGGTACCAAAACTAAAATGAAGTGGAATTTGGCATTATCCAATTTGACTGCAAAGGTTTGTGTTCTAGCCCACTTTTTGTTTGGTTATTGTGAAGGTTGCTGTGGCAATAAAAGAAAGGAAATAAGAACAGAACAGGAATTCTGGAAGATGCACAAAAGCTTTAGATTTATTGCACTGCTTAAAACATAGCTTGGTTTCAATCTGCTTTTATCTATATCCATACATTGACCAAACTAAGTTGATCATTGATTTTATGTTTGTTGTATCTGTTTACATTTTACAATTGCGACCTATCATTCAGCCTTGGAAACTCTCTGCTGCCTGCTGGCATGGCGACAAATTTGATCCCTATTTTGAAATGGAGAAAAAGAAAGATAAAGGGTTTGGCACTCAGATCATCTGTTTTCCTTTCAAGGGAATTCCTAATGTAAAAGGGCACATATGTTTTAAGAACAAAGAGAGCACGTGATTACACTGTTTAACATTGTTATTTTCTTTTCCATAAAATAAAACATGCTGTTTTCTTATTCATAAACCACAAAACATGTTACTTTGTAGCCAAGTTGTCCCGTTCTTTCTCTTTGGTTGGTATTACTTCTCAGTTACTGCTGAACTTCAATAGTTTCGTCTATTACTTGCTCATAAACCCAAAAAGTTTTCCCATCATCGTCCTAAATGTTTAATTTGCTTCTCTTGGATTTTATCTGCAAAAACATGTTCTTTATATCTCGAAGGAAAAAAACATTTCTTTTCATTTTTCAAAAACAACATTGTTACTAATGAACGCTTTATGAAGGAGGAAAAAAAAATAATAATAATAAAATTTCTTCTTTACATTTTCAAAAAATTTTAAAAATAAAAAATAAAAAATGTTACTAATGAATTTAACATTTTAGCTTTGTTAATTTGATTGTGTCAAGACATGTGACCTTAGCTGCCGATCTACCATAGTCTCCATACCTGTCTGAAGTTCAACAGGTCTTGTTCTGCGCATTTACTTTTAGTGCGGTTACCTAGGTATCTTCTGCTCTGTTGGCCCAAATGTTCAACCCATTATTTCATTTCGTATGTCCATGTGCAGGATCGTCCTATAGCTGCATAAAACCAGATGCTCGAAGTCACATAGGAATGCTTGTTCTTAGTCCGACAGTCTGTTTGAGAATGGATTGGACGACGTGGTATAATTCTCTGTCAATAAACCCACTAAAGTTGATTGTATATAGACTACGATTCATTCCATTATTTTGATTTGTTTGACTTTGCTTTCCAAGAATAGTCTTGTGGGTCTTGCTGCTCTGTAACTAGTCAGGGTGTAACATTTTGCAGTAGAGAAAAATGAATTCGTACTTGGCATTGCATTAATCTTGCTGCAATCCAACCCTCCCAACTGATCCAGTTATGGGGAACTTCATTGGTTCAAAAACATTATATTCTTTTGTTTCACTCAATTAATCCTGCATATGGGAATGTTTTAAGTGGGTGTTTGGTATACTGTATAAGACCGTACTAGTAGTACTATAAACCATAATTATACCAACATTTTTTTTTATTTCAGTCGAATGTTGATTCTTTTGACATTTTAAGAATGTATGGCTAAATAGTTGCAGATTCTTTGAAATGTATGGTTGAAATGAGTTGTAAATCATTATAATTTATCCAAATGGAGGCTTAGAACTTGAAATGAAGTTTAACCAATTGTAAATCATTTATAATTTGAGGTTGTGATTTGTAGGACTGATGTTTGTTGATTGTCAGGAATTATTCTATATTTCTCACGATATATAATTCATTTCAGTTTTAAACTACCAAATGTGTCATTTGAAGCTGTACATAAAAATCTCTATCAGCCTCTTGATTTGATTGTTGTAGAAGCCAAAACTATGAAGATCGGATCGGATCTGATCTTGCCGTTTCATGTGCATCAAATTTATTTATTTTGAGGTTTGCTTTGGTTTTGTAACATTAGTTGGCATTGAATTGTCACCTTGAGCACGCCACGAAAAGGGTTTCTTTCATGTGTTCATTGTTTGTCAACTATTTATTATATTATATAAATTTTCGCGTTTCACATTTCTTGAGTTTGACATAAGAAATTTTGTATCATATTTTTAGTTGATTTTGATAAAAGTAAATGCATGTTTGAAAAGTTGTGAATTTTATAAATTTATAATTAAAATTCATTATTGACTTTGATTTAAATTTTAATCTTTTTTTTTTTTAATAACCAAATTGGACTATATCGCTGTGTACTTCTAGGGTTGACACCCCCGATAATAGCCCCCTATCAAGAGGGGTCACGATTATTTTATTACGTGTGGGTGAGGGGCACCACGAATGTACAAACAGTAAAATCCTAATACATAATAGACAAAAAAAAAAAAAAAAAAAAAAAAAAAAAAAAATCGCAAGGAAAGATGAGGTAAATATATCTTTAGTTCAGTACTATACATTGTTTTTGTTTGTTTTGCATGCATATTCATAACTTTTTCTTATTTTTCACATTTTTCCATTTAATCGCTTCTGAAAAAGATTAAAATCAAATGAGGGCTAAATCTATATAATAATCTTAATATTCTTATACCAATATTAACAATATTGATGATTATAGTAACTACCTACCTGATAAACTTAATAATTATCTTTATATAAATCACATGATTTTATCATAATTGAGTCTATCACATAGTTTCACTTAAAATGATGTTGTAATGAAGTATATAGTGTTGTTCATAATAAAATAAAAAATAAAAATAAAATAAAAAATAAAAAGGTAATTTTCAATTACATGTTAAGATTTGCAATTCATGATTTCATATAATCAATTTAGTAGTTTAGTGGGAATATTGTCATTAATTTATGCCCTATTATTTAACTTAATGTGAAAAAAGAAGCTTTTGTGTTTCCAGCATTGACCTGTAAACCAATTCCTTGTCTTCTTTTTCTTCTATAGAGTTGTACTGGTACATGACTATTTAAGTTTCGCATGTTAGAAAAATATTGTTAATATACACATTGTCAATATAGATTGAACTTTGAATTTTATTGTTCAATGCTCGCTTTTTGACTAAACTTACTTCAGTGTTTTTTTTTTTTTTTTAATCAGCGATTCAACATAATGATTTTAGATAGAAATATCTATAACCTAGTTGTTATGGTAACAAACTTCTTTAATTTATTTTAAATAAAATTTATATATTAGATTCGTCAAAAATATACCTTCCTCATATTCGAAAGCAAGAAAATTCAACCCAAAAAAAAAAAAAAAAAGAGTAAAAATCCAAAGAAGATGCAAAGATATACACAAATTATTTTTAAAAAAAACAGAAGTCAGAAAAAAAACAATTTAAGCCTTTGTTTGATTCTATTTTTGGGTGAAATAATGCATTTTGAATAATAGATTGATCAAAAATATATGGTTAAAAATTAAAGAAAAATTTTAAATTTACGTGTAACATTATTTTTTGAAAAATGTGGTTGAAAATAAGTTTTGAAAAATGAATTTTTAAAAGAATAAGAATTAGCAGCCTGGTTGGGAGTGATTTTTGATTCAAAAAATTGATTTTTTGATCGTTATTTTACTATTTCAGTCATCATATTTGACTTTTTCTCTCACAAATGAACCTCACTTTTCTCTTTACGGTCAAAAAATCAATTATCAAAATCACTCCCAAACAGGCTTAGATAAGAGCTAAAAATTCCACTAATATCCACGTGTCTATTGTTTGGCACCCCACGTGACAGAAGGCAAAACGGAGAAACTGTGGCCGCAGACAATTTGACCCCCAGACACATCTCCTTAGGGTGTCAATTCCGAGAAAATATAAGGGCATTTTCGTCCTTAAAAAATTCCAACTTCATCGACTTGTTCCTTTAAACGATGCTGATGCTGTAGCTGCAATGTGTTTCTTTTTGGTGTATTCTCTCTTTCATCTTTAATCATTTTTTTCCCCTAAAATTAATTTTATAGTAACTAATCACCTATACGTACACATAAATACAGTCTAGTATTTACATTTAGAGGG